AGAGAAGACCAACCCTCGCCCGCGATCTCCTCCGTCTAATCAGGGACCGAAGCTTGGCGAGTCGGAGCGGGGTCCGGCCCCGGGCAGTCCCCTCCTCGGGCGGCCGCAGGGAGAAGTGGCGCCGAGGCCTCTCGGGCGGCGAGCAACCCCAATATGGTGGCCGACCAGCTGCGGAGACCGGATGTAGTCGGGGATGGAGGCTTCGGAACAAAGGAAGCGAGAAGAGGCGAGAGAGCGGAGAGGGAGGGGGACCGCCGCTTTTCAAGGCGCAGAGCCCCCTGGTGGTCGCGGCCCAGAAGGCACCCCGCCGCGCGAACCCGCGTCTCCGGGGGAGAAGAAGGCGTGCGCGTGCATAGACGTGTAGCCCGTGGCTGACCTTGCCTGGGCTGGGAAGCTGAGGAGGTTCCGAGTGGCTTAATACGAAAATTGGGAGATCATCAGGAAATGCCAGGGTTAGAGTCCAGGCCAGGGTTTCTCAAACTTGGCAACTTTAAGATGTGTGGACTTCAACTCCCAGAATTCCCCAGCCAGTTAGGCCAACCATGTGGGAAAATGTTCACTGATGCACTCGTTCGTTCAGTGTGCTCCCAGACAGGAAAGATTCCTGGCGGCTTACAGCCACAAAAGCATTAAAAACACAAAAAGCAGGTTAAAAAAGACAAGAAAAGTTAAAATGGATGTAGCCACCATATAACCATGAAATAGTGCACACCAGCATAAGATAACCTCAGCTTTCAAAGGTCCTGCAGAATAATTCTGTTCTGATTGCCCTTGAAATGAAGTCAGAGTCATGGCTGGTCTGACCTCTAGGGAGGAGGCTGTTATGCACCATGAGTCCCTCCGATCTCATGTGGCTTGGGAACCTGCCACATGAGTTGATTCCACCTAGATCCTGAGAAGATTCTGCAGAAAAACTTTCCATGAACGTAGTCTCAGGCTGAAACATAACACTCAAGTCTATAACAGGTATCGAAAGATAAACAAAATGAAAGTTAGCCCAGCATGGAAAACAGAAATCAAACACTTAAGCACAAGTTCCTTGCACCATATGTTCCCTTTTCTACAATTCTGAAGTGAGGCATCCTCTGTTCCATTGTTCTTGGACTTTGCTACTCTTTGGAAGGCTCCAAATGTTTGTCAGCAACTATTAGGGAGATGGAAACCCTATTTCAGTTCAGCCTCTTTCCATAGATTTCTCCATTAGTTTTTTTTAAAAAACAAACAAGTTTTTTGTATATCCAGGAGACAGGTGCTGAAGTTTCTGACATTTGTATGTGAAAGAGCCACTGTTCCTTCATAGGGAAGTGGTTTATAAGTCTGAAGCTTGCAAGCTGCAGTCCAAGTTACACTCACACTGCAAAACAAGAAGAGTTTTAAAGGTCCAGCCATCCCAAAACAGGGCAGTAGCAACCTACTCCCATGCTGTGGACAAGAAAATAGGTTTTGTTGTTCAGTCATTGATATGGCCATAAGGTCTACTGATGAGTCACTGAACTCAGAGAAAACCCTTCCTTCCTTCCTTCCTTCCTTCCTGGAAGGTGAAGGTTTCACATCCCTGAATAAAAGCAATCTATTAATTATACCCTTAAGAACAAGCAAATTCATTATGATCCATCTGAATTTTACTCGGTTTTAATTACATTGATTTTAATCACATCAAATGGTAGAAGTGCAAGGTTTATGAAACATTTTGTTGTAGGCATTTCCCGCTATTGTACAAATCTTACCAATGTGATTTATTCAATAAATCATAGCTAAAGACAGCATGGGTGAACTTAATGTGTAAAGTCGGCCCCTGTGATGTGCAGAAGAAAACAACAAGGGCATTACAGGATTGCGTCTCCCCACATGTGCTGGCCAAGTGAGCACTATTTATTTATTTATTAAATTTGTATGCTGCCCAACTCTCAATGACTGGGTGGCTCACACATAAAAACATTTTTTAAAAGAAAAAGAAACAAACATAAAAAATAAAGAATAAAAAATAGGAAAGATGACAGAAACCGAATTGAAACGGAAAAAAGAAACAGACCCACACAGTCCTCACTCACCCTTGCTAAAGAACTCCTCACTTCTCTGAGGGAAGAACCGTAACCCTAACTTTTGAAACACCAGCAGGGTGGGGGCCATTCGGATCTCATGGGAACCTCATTCCAGAGGGCAGGTGCTGCCACAGAGAAGACACACTTCTGGGGTCCCGATAGATGGCATTGTTTAATTGAAGGAACCCGGAGCATAACAACTCTACTAGAACAAATCAGCTGGGCAGATGTTTTGGGAAACAGGCCGAGTAACCAGGCCCTATGCCATGTAGGACTTTATAGGTAAGCACCAGCACCTTGAATTGCATCTGGAAGTAAACTGGCAACCAGTGTCTATAATTTATAGATAGATGGCATTGTTTAACTGAAGGAACCCACAGTGCCCCAACCCTACCAGTTCAGATCAGCTGGGCAGATACTGTCGATACTCTGGAGGTTAGAGGTTCCTTGGAGGACCTCTTCAGGTTACCTGGCCAACAGGTGATGCCCCACTTTGGATCCCTCCCCAGACAGAAGCATAAATCATTTTCAGATTCAGACAAGAAACAAAACATTTTTGCCTTTGATACTTTAATTCCTTTTTGTTTATTTGGACAGATGAAGCTGCAATTCAAAATGCTGGGGATCTCACCAAAATTAGCATGACTTACTTCTGAGTAAAGCATGCGTATGATTGTGCTGTTATTTATGTTAAAATATAACATAATATTTTACCAATAATTTATTTGAAAGGGGTGTACAACTAAAAATTAGTTTATTTGGATACTAAATTGTTGGGAGTCAGGTGGCATATAAATTTAATAATAATAATAATAATAATAATAATAATAATAAT